CAAGCTAACAACGTGTCAAATCATAGCAAAACCACTCCTAGACTTATCTCTACCATCTAATGAGAAGAAAAATCAAGCATAAGTCTAGATTAGTAGAAATAACCCAACCATGAAACATTTTATATCAAATTGACAAAGCTAACTTACAAGTGACAAAGAGATAGGAAATTAACTCAACCAAACCCCCACGCATGGGGCAAGATATCTCCTTAGAATCAACAATCATCTCACTCCCCTGTTTGAACAAGTTCTCAATAGAAAGTGTCTTGCATAAGCTAAAAAGAAAAAATCACCACCATATAATGGACCCAACTGGCTCAAGTTAGGGGGAGGGTCGAATTCTCAGCCAAACCAGAGGACATAGAATGGATAAGGATATCTAATCGAACATGATAAGCAAAGGCAATTGAGAATATACCATCTCATATATGATTTCAAACTCTCCCACAAACCCATAGTGTTGAGTAGAGATTGAAAAATATCAACGCATTGGTTCTTTAGATTTATAGTTCCTACCCAATGATCCTCCCCAAAAGAAGTCTCGAGGCTCATCTCACTTTTCTAAGAATAACATCAACAAACTAATCAGATGTGTCATCATCTTTGGACCCAAGAGGATACATCTCTTTCCACCAAGAAGAAGCACATTAGAAATCCGAGACCCCCCCCCCCCTTCCTCCCTAAGAGAGAAAATAATGGAGACAGCATATCTAACTACAAGAATATCACATCAAAGACTTTAAGCAACTATAACCAATCTTCATCTCCATTTATCCAAAAGGGCTAGGTTTACTAGTCGGAAATTCATTACTCATAATCTCCCATTTGCTATTAGGTTTATAAACATTATCACATTTGACTTAAAAGATCTTAGAATTTTTCTTCACTTCTCCCTAAAGAAAACCATCTTTGAATATTAATACTTTTCTTCCATACCTTCGTATTCATCTTAAAAAAACATAAAGAATATAAAGTTAACATTAAGTACAGAATGAAGAAATATCACTCGACCACCCAAACTGATATATATGTACTTCAAAGAATTGAGTCTTTTGGTCAACAAACTGATGAAAGGGTTTCAAATAAATTCAAGTTTGATAATAGCCCCATTGGCAGGTCTAGATATTTAAACGAGAGGGTTTCAATCCTACGGTGGAGGAAATCACCCGTAAAGACAAAATATACAAGGTCAACATTAATCCCGACAAGACTGTTCTTGAAGAAATTAACCCAAAGGCAATTCAAACTCCTTTCAAATCGCCTTAAATTTTTTTTACTTTCTCGATAGTAGAGACGGCCAAAAAGAAAATGTCATCTGCATTTTTAAAATGAGATACCCAAATTAAGCGATCTCACCTTAAAACTAGGTAAAGACTACACTTTAAAAAAAATTGGAAATTTTTATATCAACCTACTTTTATTATATTACATATTTTTATTTAATATATAATAAATAATGTATTAAAAATATAAAAGAAATTTGTTTTCTCTTTATGAAATTATCACATCAACAATTGAATTTAGAATTCATAACAACTTCTCTTTTCTAAAAAGAATTTGTAAGCGAATATTGATTTGTCAATAATTATACTACTAATATCAATATATATATTTTAATTTAGTCAACATTATCTCTTATTTGTGAAATATTAATAAAAGTAACAATAAGGAGAGAAAGATGAGATGAGGCTAGGAGTAGTGGATGAGTAGTCCCTCTCAATTGAGTTTGGCAAAACGGACAAGGTCATAGGTGAATAGTGGGACATATATGTCTTGTTTAATTTCCACAACCATAATATATGGGGTCATTTCCATGTCATTTCTCCACCACAAGTTTTCTTCCATTATATCTCCACACACACACACTCTACCTCTTCAATCAACTACATATATATGGTTCATTACTCTATTATTCAAGTATTCAAACAACAACTGCACACACCTTAATTTGGCATATTTTCATAACTTGTTCACACAGCAAGCTTTCAAGTATAAAGAAATTAATCAATGGCTGCTACTGCTACTGCTGGTTCATATTCGATGAAGGGTTTGAAGGTTCGATCGTTGGGACGATACAGTTCGAAGCAAGTTCGACAGCAGAGAGCAAGGTTATACATAATATGGAGATGTACTGTTTTACTATTGTGCTGGAATGATTAAAAGTAAGTACAAGAATGATGAATATTTGTAATTGCAATTGTAGGTTTTTGTTACTACTTAGAAGGGTAGATGAAGGAGTATGTAAATTATATGATCTAGTACTCAACCATGTATAGATATAATGACAATTATAATGATAATTCAAGTTGAATTTCTTCAATAATATATGGCTTATGTTTCATTAACTTTTGAAATTGTAAAACTTGATTTTAAATTGATTTAACATAATGCTCTTGCATCACCCTCCTTTAATAATTTTTTCATTTTTCAAATAATATGTTCTAAATTGCATTTTGAAATGATGAAAGCATCTTCATGTTCTCTTCTCCTTTCCTCTTTTTCTTTTTTTCTTTCTTAATTTTTTCATTTTTATAAAATACAACAAGATCATCTCCATTTCTAAAATCAGGTTTATCGTATTTTAAAAAGTAATAAATTTATTAACAAAATCTTACCTTTTTTTTAATGGCAAATACAACTAAAAATTCAATTAGACTTCATCACCAATTTCATAAATAATTAAGAATGATTACTTAAAAGATTTGTATATATTTTAAAAATAATTAAGAATAATTACTTAAAAGATTTGTTTATATATATATTCTAAATTGGAATGTGAAGGGAGATATAATTTTTTTTTTTACAATCAAGAATAATTTTAAAAATAATTAAGAATATTTATTTTTATATTTGTGAAATTTAAGTTTTTTCTACGAAATTTAAAATATAATTTAGAATATTTAAATTATGTTTTTATGAAATTTATAAAATAATTAAAAAAATTTAAATTAATTTTTCGGATAAATATTTATTTATTAAAATTATGTTAATGGATAGATTTGATAGATTTTATCTTTTAATAAATAAATTAAATTGAATTTTTATTAAGAGAGTTTAATGAATTGTTAATGAAATAATATATTATTTTAATTTATTCATTAACAATTCAATTCATATTTATTAAATCTATTTGATGGCTTCTAATTTTAATATTAAATAATGTTGAATAGAATCAATCACTTAATAATGTTGTAGTTTATATTTCTTCACCCGGCATTCAAACAATCAATTGTACGTGACAATTTCAAAAATCATTTTAAAAGGAGAGTTGAAGTATTCGATAACTAATGAAGATAGTCATGTACAAATTTGTCAACAAACATTATAAAAAAAGTTTTTCAAAATTTGTTTCAATATACAAATAATATAATTGTATCTATCTTTACAAACATTACGAACCATTCCAGGTCAAATAATCTAGTTTACTCAATGCTTGAAAAACAGTTCGTTCCTAAATATATATATATTTCGAACAAGATAAGAACTCTAGAACTCAATAGTACTATGGAGGAGGAAAGAGGAGAAAGGAAGGAAACAAGATCTCACAAAAGTTTGTGGTCGTGATGCTACAAGTCAAAAGGTACTTTGAAAGTATATGGTTAATAGAGATAGAGAATCGACGTGTGTATTCATGGATCTTCCATTGAAATTTTTGCACAATGATTTTCGAGGCAGGGCAGTGAGAAGAGATTCTTAAAAAGTGTTATAGGTTAGAGGTGTGCATTTAAACCGATTTATCAACACCGGTTCCGAGGCAGGCAGTGAGAGGGGGATTCTTAAAAAGTGTTATATGTCAGGGGTATGCATTTAAACCGATTTATCAACACTGTATATATATTCTGGTGCATCAATTTAAAATATTCTAACTATTTGTAATACATATTGATTCAATTTATATAAGATTAAAAATAAATCAGTTAACCACTTACTAAAATCGGTTTTCCTACTTTTCCTACTTTAGTTTTGAGTCCAATATAATTTGGTATATCAAATCGGTTTTCCTACTTTAGTTTTGAGTCCAATATAATTTGGTATATCAATTCGGTTTTCCCACGTGTATTATATTCTTTTTCAAAAGACATATTTCAATAATAAAATCACATTCTTTTTCAAAAAACATATTTCCATGTTTTCAATAATAAAATCACATGTGTATTATATTCTTTTTCAAAAAATATATGATAATAAAAATTAAAAAACAGTAATCTTATTTAATTATAATAATTTGAATTGCTTTGAAATTATTTATTTTTGTAAATATGAGTTTGTGACAAAAAATTTAATTTATCAAATCAGAACTATAATATAATTTGGATAATAAGATGTGTGGAACCGTGATCACTGCATTATTTTACATATAATTAGAAAAATAGTTAAAGAAAAAATCTTGACAAAAAAATAAAATTAGTATGATTGGTTTTAGAGAAAAACAGTTTCTATAAGAAACCGATTTTAAACTGAACCGATCCAAATATAAATTGGTTTTGAAAAACTAACCTAGTTTTATATAAACAACTCTAACAACCAAATCAAACCATGTATAAGGACCAATTTGGATTGATTTCACACCCCCACACACCCCTAAGTTATAGGTGGATTGGGAAATTAGAGAAACTTTAGAATGGATCTTGACTTTTTTTTACCTGGATTTTACCTTTAAATGTATGTATATATGCATCCACATACACAAGAAAAGGCAAAACAAATTCATAATTAAGAACAAACCACATAAACAACCACATAAACAAAATACTAAAAATGAATTCCCAATTACGTTTTTTTGTACAAAATTTGGAAATAGCTGTAATCAAATCACAAGATGGTGATAATAAGTTACTATTTACGATATATGTTTCTACTACTGTTTCATACTGAAATATAAGCATGTATCCAGCTCACACTATCATCCATAAAATTCTAAGGTTTATTTTGAAGTAAATTGGTAGAACGAACTTAACTTTTTGCTTCTCTTTCTACAGAAAGAAAAAAAAGTTAAAACCTCAAGATTCCAGTTCTGCATCTTTGTCAAAAATTTCCCACCCGTCATCAAGAAGAGCATTGTGTTCAGATTTGGATTTCTCCTCTTCCACACCTTTGTTAGAAAGGCTTTCAATTGAGACTGCCTGGGTGATCTTGAGTACTTCAGACGAATCACTATGCTCAGAACCCGCATTAGATGCCTGGATGATCTTGAGTATTTCAGACGAATCACTATGCTCAGAACCCGCATTAGATGCCAAGGTTTTGTGTGACGAACCTGAAGAGGCTAAGATGCAACTTGTCTGACTAGACGTGAATGATTGACTCAGAGGAAGATTTGCATCAAATTTTTCTTTTAGAAGCCTAATATCCTGACAAATAACAGAAATTTCTCCTCTGCAAAGTTAAATAAGTATGTTAAATTCAGAATTTTAAAAATATCAGTTTTTCCATTAAGAAATAAAACAGTTACAAAAGACACAATTCATTCATAACACATCAATGGGTATGTATGCCTGAGTGAAGAGAAAATAAACATCTCCAAGTCACATACTGAAACAGGATTTCTAAAGAAACATAAGTTAAATATAATGGCGGCCAGTTTGGCAAAGTGGACAAATGAGGAAAATTAGAACCTAGAGATGTAATGTAACTTCATGACCATAATCAAAATTACACTAAAAAGGACACAAGTATACAATTAATAGTATGAAATCAGTAGAATAGTGCAAAAGAGTCAAAAATATTGGTGGTTAAATGACAGGAATAAGCAGAAATTAACATTATAGCTAAACAAAGAAACAACTTACTGCAATTTATCAACAGGAATAAGCAGTAGAATAGTGCAAAAGAGTCAAAAATATTGATGGCTAAATGACAGGAATAAGCAGAAATTTAAAATTATAGGTAAACAGAGAAACAACTCACTGCAATGTATCAACGATCTGCCCACGGTCCATCAGAAACTCCCGTAACTGCAGAGATGAGAAGAATCAATAAAAATCATAGCACATCAACCAATGTCTAGGCTTTGTTTGGGACTTTGGAGGGAAATGGAAAGGGAGAAGAATTTATTCAGAATAAATTTTTTCAAGAGGCCAAGAGAGAATGCTTATGACTGATCTTTTTAGAGTATATTAAAAATGATTTAGAGAATTTGTTCAAGAGTTAGGAGGGGGGAGACTTCAAGAGGGAAAAGGAAGGGAGGAGAAATTTTTCACCTTATTTGGAAGAATTTGTGAAGACACTATAAAAATTTGAATGAGTGATTTTTTGGAGTATTATAAAAGAAAATTGATTTGGAGAATTTGTCAAAAACCATTAGCAAATCCATCTCCAATTCTTTGAGCTCACGAATATAGCAGAATTTTGGTTTTATCAAGAAAAATAAACCTCCCATTCGAGGTGAGAGTTATCATCCCTCTTTTCCCTTTCCCAGTTTTTCCTCAAAGTCCTCTCTTCATAATTCCCAATAAAAGCCCAAGTCTATCATGATCTTAACCCAATAAAGATTAGAGGTTACTTGCACGCTTTAAAAATAAATATTTCTGGAGCTTAAAATGCATATTCAATTCAATGAAAGATAATAAAATGAACTGGAAACAGAGGAAACACTACCAACCTTTGAATTCTCTTCTGCCTCCTGTTGTAGCCTCTGTGATTCCTGAACTACCTTCTCCATCATAGCTTCTTGCACAAGAAGTGACATCCTTGCTGATCCCTCTTTTTCCTCCTTTTCAAGCTCAGCTGCTTTCTTTAACATTTCAGCTGCAGTTAATCGAGACTCAAGAATTTGGCGCATCTGCAAGCAGGAGTGTTGAATTTCACAAAAACAATAATTAAAATTAATACACATATGCACCATAATCTATAGCGCGAAATGATTCAGATTTGTATAATCTCAGTGAGTCAGAAAGATGCAAAGTATTCTGAAATGTGAAAACATATGCATAAAATTACGATGAAAATAATCCCAATTTACACAAGTTGAGCACCTCATCAAGAATTGCAAGAGACATATCCCTTTCACCAGACAAACTTGACAAACGAGATTGAAGTTCCTTCAGTTCAGTTGCCAGAATAGCCTTTTCTCCATAAATTTCCCCTGCATGCTGCAAAGCAAAAGTTTACGTTAAAAACTTAATTCATCACAACTAAAACAGCATCACCAAATGTTAGTAGCACTTCAACACCAGTATTTTTTGGTATTTATTTCACTGCCAACCATGTCATTTGCTTCTTTAGCATGCACCAACATGGCTTGATACTCTTCTACCCTATCCAGAATATCAGACCCTCCCCTAGCAGCTATCATATTGGCCTGCTCAGCAGCTTTCTCCAGAAGTTCCACTTCTCTCATCAAATTAATAAGAGATTCCATTGATGAAAACAACATTTTCTGCATCAGCGTAGAATAAAAGGCACAAGATTTCAGAAGTTAAGATCATATCATATTTCAATGAGCAGGTCATAATTTCATAATTTTGTAGCAACAAAAATACTTGCAACGTGTAATGCTATTTATTTTCCAGTTTTATCATCAATAATGGAACAACTCATTACTCAATAACATAGTAACAATGGTTCAATAACAATTTCGCCACAACCATGTATAAAGCTAGTAGTAAATCCTGCATTAACAAAATCCAATTATAATAAATCAGAACTTACAATACCTTGTTAGTTTTTGCTTCATCAATGGTCTCCTCAAGTGTATCAATGCTGCATGCTCGACTATTTTCGCTGGTTGTCTTATTGACATCAATTTCATGTTCAACATGACTATTTTCGCTGGTTGTCTTATTGACATCAATTTCATGTTCAACATGACTAGCTTCATCAACAATCTCATCTTCAATATGACTAGCTTCACCAACAATGACAGAAGGATTTGAATTAACATCCATGTGAAGATAATCTTCACCAATTGGAGTATGCTCCTGAAGTTGAGATATAGTTAAAACTTCAGAGCCTTCTAACTCATTAAAGGAAGTTTCACATTTTTCCAAACTGCGACTTGTATCACAGATAGTGGCATCAACATTTTCATCAGTAGGGACAAAATCTACCCATTCTTCATTCAGATTGTTCTGTTCATTCTCCCCCACTGGATACACACGTGAAGATGTCAAATTTTCAGAATCAACATCGACATCAAGCCGCCCCTGATCAAAAAAGTTAAAACCATTTGATGTCTCCTGAGGAATATCATTCAAGAACCCTCTTTTTAAGTAAGCTTCAAGATCTATCCCAAAAAATCTTTTGCTTCCAACCTTCTTATCACTCCCATTTGACAGTGTAGATTCATTAAGAGTCACATTCAGATCCAGTCCACAAGAAGAATTGGCAGCTTCGGCAATCTGTACTGGTATAGAACGTGATGATAATGATGCAGATGATGAAGACCCCATGTCATTATCTTCAACAAGTTGATGTTTCTGCACCAAACTCCCTTCCTCCTCACTTTCATCTGAAGGTTCAACATGTCATTAGAAATATACTTGTAAACCATTTCAAAGCAAGCAAGGTATAGAGTTATATGGAATTGCAAGTACAGAGTAACTGACAAACCTTCAAGGTTTATTACAACTACAGGACTAATACCCGGTCGCAATTTTACTGGAAAATTAAGATCTGGCCTAGAAGAAGAACTGGAAGAAGACCCCACATCTGTGTCTTTAATAAGTTGATGGTGTACCAACCCATCCCCTTCGTTCTCACTTTCATCTAAAGATTCAACATGAATCCGTGATATATCAGTAAACCATTCAATGTAAACTAAGAAGAGACTAATACAGAATGCATATACAAAACAAGTAGACGCACCTTCCAGGTTTACTACAACTCTCGGGCTCATATCCTCCGCTGGAAGTAATTTTTTGGAAATTGATGGGATGATTTCTGTAAGAACAATTTCCGCAGCAATATCAGCATCCTTAGGATGTTCAATAGCCACAGCCCTCAACAACCTAGAATCAACCTGCTCAAGGCAAAATAACAAACACAGAGTTCAGCTAAGAGCTAGTATTGATGACAAGCCAGTCAAATTCTCAGAGTAACACAATCCTAAACTAGAAAGTTCAATGAACAAACCTAAGTTCTATAAAGGAAAACCAAATCAAGTTCACAAACTAAACACATGAAAATGGATCACAGAGCATCAACAAGTTATAATAATTAAAATTAATCAACAAAGAACTATTCTGAATCATATTTCAGGAGAAAACGAAAAACGAAATTACTTATGAATACCTGTGGAAATATATCCTGCAATGATCTATAGACTGAATTGAAACCCATGATCACGATTCAGTTACCTGCAAATGAATATAAATCGATTAAACCCTAACTTCGCTATGAAAATTGAATATGCACGATCATCAAAAGCCGTAAATCTGCGAATGAAAATCGTAAAAACCCTAACTTACGATATGCAAAAAAAGCATGTAAATTCAGATTATTATTATTGTACCTTGATTTTGTTCAATTATGGAAAAGATCGATGGGGATAGAAAAAGGATCGAAGGAGACACAATTATATGGTTCGAAATTGGAATTGAGAATGCGAAAGGATCAGGGAAAGTAGTGAGTGGGCTTGACCTTAGTGTTATAGTAGGATTGGATTGGAGCACACGAAATTGTGACGCTGTTTACCAATGCTTCTGGAAATAAATTATGGAGAGAGAAAGAGAGTGTAACATAGCTAAGGAATTGGATAATATGGTCAATGTCTATGAGATTTGGAGGGTGTTTCGGGAAAAATAAAATGCATGGCCAAAATTTCACGTCATGATAGGACTTGAACCTATTGCTAGGAAATTATACGAGTTAGTAGAAAATATTAAGCGATTAATCTTCAATAGCAGTATAGGCACAAGCAGTGAATTTTAATCCGCTCGAGGCTAGACCTCACACGCGCATCAAAATCCGTAACATAACCCCGAATAATGCTTAGTACAATTAATAATTGGAAATATTACGAATTTTTTACCTAAATCCCACAAACTGAAAAATTAAATATTAAATTGTCACAAGTTAAAAAAAAATTCTAAATCTATCATAATTTTATTAAGGGTTAGTTCATTGGTTGGACGACCCAATGAAGGTTGTTTGTATGCTATATAAGTTCGGTCATTCATTGGTCGACCCTACACTGCATGGTTTTTTTTTGTTTTTTATTTATTTTTAAAATAAAAATATATTATATTTTATTATTTTATGTTTTAAAATGCTTTTTGTATATTAAAATTATTTAAATGATATTTTAAATTAATAAATAAATAATTTAATTATTTTAAATAATTTTTTATTATTAGTAAATATTTTTCACATTATCTAATTAATTGTTTTTTTATATATTAAAATTATTTAAATGATATTTTATATTAATAAATAAATAATTTAATTATTTTAAATTATTTTTTAATATTATTTAAAATACAAAATGATAAATAATTATATAAAATAATAAATTATATAATTAATTGTTTAACTAAATAATTATATAAAATAATAAATTAAATCATAAATAAAGGATATTTTATTAATATTGATGAGTGGAGAAAATACATCATTTTTATCTACGCAAATGACCGCCAGTTCCACACATTTTACTCTTTTTCACACGTTTCCCCCTGCCTAACTCTTGGGTTTGCCGTCTTGGAGGTGATGGGTAGAGTCGGAAGTCAACTCTTCATTTTCAGGTTGATGTGATGTATCAAGCATGTCCACATCAGTAACCGAAAAACCTGGCCATTCCATGAGTTGATCATCAGTTAGGGTAAAGTTAAGGGCTGACTGGAATGGTTGGGTAAAGGTGGTTGGAGAACTTTGTTTGATGGGAAGGTAATAAACATTGTCAGTGCGGTCGGATGAACTTGGTTAAGACATTGAAGGGTTAAATGTTTGGTGTTGTAGTTGGGGGTAAGAGAAATCAAAATTAGGCTGAGGGATCGGGGTGAATTGAAAAGAAGGTCGAAATGTGGCTTGTTCCTGATATTGTTGTTGGTAGTAGTAGTTTGTTTGTGGGGTTGGGGTGTACGGTGTTGGTTGTTGAGAGGAGGTGGCAAAGAATGTGGTATGAGTGCGTTGATATGTTGGTTGGGGTTGTGGTTGTGTTGGTTGTTGAGAAGAGGTAGCAAAGAATGTTGGCTGGGTGAATGAAGATGTTTGTGTTTGAAATTGTGAAGGGTTCACCTGAGGCATTTCTTGAGGCATGGGCGAAGAGGATCTTTGTTGTGATGAAGACGTTGCATACTGACGGGGTCTTCTAGGAACTGACCTTGAGAAGCGTGCATAAATGGAATGGATAAAAACCATTGCATATATGCAGTACTATGAACATAGTTGCCGTTAATCATGTTACCTCGTAGGGTCAATTTTTTTTCTGTTTCTCCACTCGTTATTCTCTTCTTTATTTATATTGCGCCAATGATCTCCTCATGTATTGGGCATATCAGTCTCATGTTGTTCACGTAGACATCTAGGCTGAGGAGGGATATCTTGTTGAAATCCAAACTGCAGTTTGACCTTATCAGCCTGATGCATTTCAACAATATGGAAACTGATAATTAAAGTTGTAGTGCTCCAAATCTGACTATCTTCAAGGACGCATTCTGGGTAGGTTGGGTATGGCCTACAAATAAACTGTTACAGAAAATATAATTGTTAGAGTTTTAATACAGATGGTGGCACATATTTAGAGAATGTAGCGCTAACAAACTTACATCGTTAGCCCTTAATCTGTCTAGTGCAAATCTAAATCCTTTGACGTAGTGCCGAGGATTATTTTGATAAGCCATGCCTCTTCGAACAAATCTTGCAATGTTAAAAGAAATAAAAATAATTTAGGGATGGAAAAAAAAGAAAATAAATGATAAAGAAAATGTAAAAAAAATTTACCTTGTTGCATAAGGATGGTGTGAATTGACGGGAGACTCTAGAGCTATTAGTGGTATACGCCAATATGTCCAAACACATAGTAGTAGAACACACCCATCAATACTTTTGACCCCTACCATACATGCTTTACACATATGCCTATATAATGTAGCCAAACAAGCAGAACCCCAACTATATCTATTGCATTTATCTAAATCTCCTACTAGGGGTATCCAAGAAGAATGTAAATAGTTATGGCTCTTGTCTGGCATTAATACTTTAGCTATGAGTAGTAAAATATATATTTTTGCATGGAGAATGTTATCCTCATTGGACGGTGTTGCTATTTTTCGTAATCGTGCTAATGTAGTTTGTAGTCAAACAATTTTAACACACGCTTTATGTTTATCGGATGTTGTAGGTTCGATGCCTAAATGTTCCATATATACATCACCTCCTACCTGAGTTGGACCATTCACACGAAGACCCAATAACATACTCACATCCTCCAAAGTGATGGTACATTCACCTGTTGGTAGATGGAAAGTATGTGTTTCTGGTTTCCACCTCTCCAACATAGCGATTACAAGCTTTGAATCAACTTTGATTGAGGAGATTTCTGCAACTTTTGCGAAACCCGCTCGTTCCAAAAACGGTTTAATTGCATCACTTGGTGCATCTATAGCATGAGAATGTAGTCTAAATCTCTCGCTATCGGACTGTTTCAAATAAATTTTAAAAAATACAAACTTGATGAAGAAAAAAAACACAAGTGTGAATAAAAAAAACTTACAAATGCGGCAACATTGGCCGGTGTTCCCCGATGATTTTCTCCCATCCACAACATTGCCATTTAGAAGTATTGAAATATTGGTTTAGAAGTAGTGATTTTCAAGAATATATGCTGAAATGGTGATTTTGAAATATTGGTTTAGAATGTATTTATAAGAAAAATGGATACACCCTACTACATAATACACACCAATATCCTTTGGAAAACAACATGCATGCAATACTAGACTGCACCCTGTGATTCTTCTACAACCTAAATTGATTCTTCTGCACCCTAATGTATTAAACCCTAAAAGCATGCAACGACAAGTGAACAGCATGCAAATTTCCCTCTTTAATGGTTCGCCCTTGGAATGGCCGAACCCCTACACGTTCCTCATGGGTTCGTCCTTTGGTTGGACGACCATTAACTAAGCATGAATGGGTTCGTCCTTTGGTTGGACGACCCTTAACTATGCATGAATGGGTTCGTCCTTTGGATGGACGACCCTTAACTAGCTCAGCATGCACGCCTGTTCTATATATTTTTCATGCAATTGTTGCAGACTACACATCTAACTCCCACTCCCACACTGTCAGTACCAAAAAACCATTCATGGCAGATAGAAATACATTGGTCATTATGCACTACAATGGTTCTGTGTTTACTGATGAAAATATCGGTTTTTCATTCAACGGAACAGATACGGTGATGTTCAAACTTCACCGAAGTTCTGATATCCTTCATCTAAAAGATAGAATTGAAAAAAAAAGTGAATCGTTTAGTTCAGGATATTACTTACTGTCAACCATTACCTAATGGGGTAGATGGTGGTGTGTTCTATGTAATGATGCAGATAGACACAGACGGCGCAGTCAAATCAATGTTTTAATGTCATTACACAATGCCCTAGTTGAAGACGATTGAGTTATATGTTCTCCTTGAAGATGAAGCATATCCAACACAATCATCATATTCACATCAATACGGAGTGAGCCAAACAACTGATGAAGAAATAACACAAAATAATGAACCTTTCATCCGAGACGAGGAGGTTGGTGAATACAGTGACGATGAACTCGATGATGTTCGCTTTGAAGATCTATTCGGTGATGACGATGACGAGGGTGACGATAAACTCGTGCATTCAGAGGTAATATATGCTCAACCCATAAATATGTACAATCCACCAGTGCATATGTCAAACATATGTATGGAGTCTTCTCAATCCATCTATATTTTTGAAAATGACAAACCAAACCATAATGGTGAAAAATTGGAAGTAGGTTTGGTGTTTGAAAATAAGGAAGCATGTGTTCTTTTTTTACAACATTGGCATATTAGTAACAACCTTAACTATGCAATGTATAAATCTGATTCAGTAAGGTATATAATAAAATGTAAGAACCCACAATGCGTCTTCAAATGTAGAGCTGCATTGCGTAAAAAAAAGCACATTATGGGAGATCGCTACTATAAGAGGATCACACACATGCACAACAACTTCTATGTCACGAGATCATAGAAAATTAGATTCTGAAATTATTAGCCACAGCATCAGAGAACTTGTTAACAACGACGCTTCACTAAAAGTCAAAGTTATACAAGCCCATATTGCTGAAAATACGGTTATGGAATCTCATATCGG